GGAGGGGGAGGGGCAGCGGGAGGGGGAGGAGGGAAGAGGGAGTCTGTACCTAAGGTCCCGAGGTCGGCAAAGGGGTCCAGCGTCTGGGGCTTGCTCTGATGGGTTGGAGTGCCGTGCAAGGACCCTGTCGGGCTGGTGGCAGCTGATTTGCTTCCCATTCCAAAACCTCCTGAAAAGCAAAACCATCACGGAAAATTAGTGAGTTGTCCAGGGCTGGTTCTGAAATTCTAAATTTCATGAGCTGTCCCTTCTGGTGTTTCCCCTCTCCTGCTGTGCTCTTCCTTGTGGGATCTGGAGTCAGGCCTGACCCTGAATTCTGGCTCCACCTCTTCCTGAGTTACCTTGGGGATCTTGCTTAGTGACTGTGAGCTTCAATATTTTATCAGTGTTTCTTAAAGGATAGTGTACAAAACCAAACTCACAAGCAATAAAAGCAAAAAGTAGACAAACTGGGACTACATCAAACTTAAAAACTTCTGCTCAGCAAGGGAAACAGTCAACAGGGTGAAAGGACAAAATATGAAATGGGAAAAAAACATATCTAATAAGTCATTAATACCTAGAACACGTTATGACTTAATAAAAAAAATTAACCTAATTTAAAAATAGCCAAAGCCCCAAACATAAATCAATGGCTACAAAATTCTCACCATCACTAATTTTTTTTTCTTTTTTGGTATTGGGGGTCAACTCAGGACCTTATGCTTGCAAGGCAGGCACAGGAATCACTGAGCTAAATCCCTGGCCCGCCATCACTAATTATTACAAAAATTTAAATCAGAACAGCAACATCAGCCCTCACCTGTTAGGATGACCGTTATTTTAAAACAAGAAGAAAAAAAGCCGGGTGTGGATACACACCTACAGTCCTAGCTGAGGCTGCGAGTTCAAGGCCAGCCTGAACTGCATAGCCAGACCCTGTCTCAAAAAACAAACAAACACAGAAAATAAGCAGTGTTGGTGAGGATGTGAAGAAACTGGAACCTTGGTTTGCTCCTGGTGCAGCCCACTTTAGTGGATATGATGAAAAGTAGAACTGCCATACAGTCCAGCACCCTCGCTTCGGAGTACGGATCCAAGGCATTCAGAGCAGGAGCTCACACACAGCATCATTCACAACAGCCGAGAGGGGCAGCAAACTAAACGTCCATCGGCTGAGGAGAGGCAGAAAGACTGCAGGCGTGAAAAGCAGGACATCACTCAGCCTTTCAAAGACAGAGTCTGTCCTGTGTTTCGCCGTGGGTGAGCCTTGGACACAGCCACAAGAGACAGACCTGTGAGGTTCCACTTATGAACATGTCGGACATTGTGAGAGCCGTAGAAACGGAGTGACATGGTGGTTAAGGTTGGGGGAGGCCCAGGCGTGCATCCCGGGCAGGCTGGTGCTGGGGACCACGGTCGGCAGTGTGCATCCCGGTGACGGTTCGCACCGTGCGCCTGGAAGCTGGGAAGGGTCAATTTTGTTGTAGTTTGCCTTTTCCTAGCCATACTAAAAACAAAAGGAAACAACAGCTGCAGGAAGTTGTGGTAAGTATACTCTGTGTGTGAGTGTGTGCGTGTGTGTGTGTGTGTGCGCGCGCACGTGTGTCTGCATAAGTAACAACAGGAGCACAATCACACCAGACAGCTCTCAATCAGTGTCACGTAGACATGGAAGGAGAACTTCTATATTACCAAGAAATCCAATCCCAAAACAAGTACTGTGTGAAAAAAGAACTGTCTGTACTCAGCATCTACTCTATGCCAGAAACTCCTGTCCAAGCCATGAAACCTACAAAACTGTGTGGAATAAAAATTAGTATCCCTGTTTTGTATGAAAGAATCCTGCAGCTCAGAATCATGGAAGCATCTAAGCGTTTCTATGTGCTGGAGTCAGACATGCACTGGATCTGTCTGATTTCATCCTCCACACAGATATTCCGCTGATGAGACACAGGAAGCTGCAGTAACTCAGTAGGTAGTTAAATAACACACTGCCGTGTCACCAAAAGCACAGGGAAGCGCTGTTTAGGAAAAACCAACACATCTCACCACCTCAGCTGTCCCAATACTCTGTCCGTACTCAGCTCTTGTTGGCTGAAGGACTCCACTTTGACGACTAGTTAAGGGCATAGGAAACAGCACCCACTGCGCTTACCTGGTTTAGCGTGCCAGTCCCAGCCTCCAGAAACATCCGGCTGAATGCTCACAGCAGGGGTGCTGGAAGCTGCTTGCAGGGAGAAGGAAAAGAATAAAATTGAGAGCTCAGAACCCAGCTTTCTGAGGCCACTCAGGATAAAGCCATCCGCTCCGGGACCAGCATGGCCTCTTGGGTCCCCAGGCACCTCGCCCTCCTCCTGAGCTTTCCCCACACTCCTCAACACTGGGCCTTCGGATCCCTGCATAAAGCTTGGTAAAAGCCAGGGGATCCCGAATCTCTTCTTTCTCTGGCTCACCTTTGTTTTGCTCTCACATTCACACACTTGGAATTATAATTATAATTATAATTGGAATTATAACTGTGCACTTGTCTGTCTTCATTAAATAGTGAGCTCCTGGAAGCCGAGAACTGTCGTATTCATCTTTGCTTTCCCTAACTCCACACTTATCACTGTGGGAAATAAGAAAAAGGGGAAAACCCTTCCACTTGCCTTAGCATTAACAAGAGCACCGAAGCATGAGCCACTCAGTGCTGATATTTTATTTTCTCCTCTGTTGTGACATGAACGAAGAACGCTGAGTCATTCACAGGGCAGTGACCGTTACCCCCCAGGGTGCGGGTGACAGGGTGTGCCGACTGTCACCCGAAAGAAGCCCATTACAGCCTCAAAATAGATCACTCTGACCCCACTTGAACTTACAAAGCTAGAATTTGAAAATGTCCTGCTGTAGGAAGGAATTTCTTTCTAAGAAAACCTCCCGGTTTTACTGGTAATATCAGGGAGCAAAATGTAGATGTGACACTAACATCGCGGCACCTGGGGTTGAAAACACACACACACACCACCCTGAGAATGGTTCAGACACCAGGATCAGCACTCAGGGCTCACTCGGATCTGCATTGTTTACTTCATAGCTACCAAGACACCCTGCGCCTTCCCTTCGCTGGGTTACAAAGAACGCGCTCTTCTCAGGTATGACTCTTACCTACGTACTCCTCCTTTCTCTTTCTCCACAGCAATCCATGAAAACAGAGGTGGAAAGGAGACAACTCTGCTAACATTTCCTGTCCGACTTCCTTTCAACTTTGATCTAAATTGAGCCCACAATCCCTGAAGAGTGCCCTCCACATGCAAAGCACAGCAATAACGAACAGAGACCTAAGGATGCATCACCTAGCCTCAGGAAATACAAAAGCTGTCAAGAATATGTGACTATATGAAAAAGTAGTGCATAATACATAATGAGCATGCAAATATGGGCGGTGAATTAACATATGAATGTGTTCCTATTCGTACATGAAAAGGAATATTTGATAAATAATTACTTAACATTTAAGCCTCTATTTCGCCTTTTCTTACAGTTGGTGGTTTTGCTTCCAGCACCACACCCAAGAGATGGCTCTTTCGGAACAGGTGCTTCTGGTGAGCACCTGCTGAAGTCAAAGGTGGTCACCTGACTGGGTGATGACTACCACACAGCCTGAATTTATACCGTGTAGCCATAATGTGGCCCACACGTCCCTTTTCAGAAGGGCCTGGGGATGCCTTCTAGGACTTGGAGGGGGACCCCGAGGGCTGGAGGTAGGCAAGCTGGCTCCCACCCTGACCGCCAGTCTTATGTGCTATCCTGCATGGAGAGGACACCACCGCCTCACAACAGTGGGAGAGTCACCGCTCTCCCAGAAAGGGCAGTGAGAAATTCTCCTCACCCACAGGCATGGTACAGACCAGAATGGCAAAGGCAGCTACGAACGAAGGTGGACTGGTCTACACTGGGTGGAAAACAATGTGTTCTAACCAGCTGACAAGAGACAGAGGGCCGGACCAGGCTGGAGTATGAAGACCCGTGTCCATGGGACTTCAAGTGCAGTACTGGTCCCAGAACAATAGCTTCTGAGTACTCAAATGGGGAAAAGGTGTGATGTGACCCCATAGACACTCGCACCATGTGTCAGAGAAACTGGTAGGAAGAAACTGAGTGAACTTCATTTAATAGCTATGTACTAGAAAGAGAGCTAGCAGTCCCTAAGGTGTGCAGGAATTCTCACAGATACTAGGAACACCTTAAGGAACAGAACAAGGAAAAACCCTTGCCTTTGTGGAATTCATGTTCTAGTGAGAAACAAAAACTAAACATAATGTACAAGGAAATGGTTGCATACAGTAGAAGTGAGTAAGGCCGGTGGCAAGGAAAGAACAGAGCAGGGCAGGTGATGAGCTGGGATTTGAAATGGAGCAGCATAGGCCCCACCTGGAGGGTAGCACTGGGCTAAGACTCAAAGGAGGCGAAGAAGGCAGCCTCACAGATGTCCAGGGAAAAGCTTGTGGCAGAGAGAGTGAACGGCTGGCATCACAGAGGCTAGCAGGGCTGGGAGGAAGGGAGCACAGGCAGAAATGGGAAGGGGTCATAGGCCGGGTCTACACAGCCCCTGCAAGGGCCCTGGCTCTCGTGCCCAGTGAAGCTGGGGCCACGGTGAGCAAGGAGTGACTTACACATAGACCAGAAAACAAAGATGCCAACCTAATAGACACCCTTGCATCATGTCTCCCACAGGCAACTGGCCCCTGACCAGGAGACTCTCCCAGGTGGGCCCTGCTCCTGGGGGAAGTGAGCTTCTTCCAGCTCATTCTATGGCCTCACATCAAATGGCTTCAGATTAAGACCAGCTGGAAGTCACACACCATAGAGTTTGCTCCCGGAATGATTTCTCCTTTTCAGCCAACTTATGGTTGACCAGTGCTGCGCAGCTCAACTCTCTTTTGCATCTGCAGGGCTCTGAAGTCAAGCTGATGACCAACTACATTCTCCAGGGAAGCTCAGGTACCTTCCACAACAGGTCACCCCAATACTGAGGCCAGCAGTGTTCACCGTCAGCAGGAGCCCGACGTGGCTAAAAGCCACCTGCCCTTCACCGCCTGTCATGGCTGTGTCTAGCTGCCCCCCAATGCCTCGTGTGGTCAGAGGTGGCTGCATCTAGGTTGTGAGATGCTGGGATCCAGGGTGTGTGATTAACACATCAGTCCACAGATTGGTTAAAGGCAGGAAGCCTGGGTAAGATACAAGGGACAGAAAGAGGGTTGCTGCTTGTCTTGCCGCTTCTTGCCTCTTGCTTGTTGCTCACTGCTTGGATGATTTCGATGTTCTCCGCCGGCCACAGGCTGCTTCCCCTGTACCAGGCCACTCTGCCTTGGAGCCAGCTGATTATGGACTGAAACTGTGAGCCAAAACAAACCTCCCCTCTAACTCTGGTGTCAGGTATTTTGCCTCAGCAACAAGAAAACTAAGACACTGCTGAGCTCCAGGTTTAAACCGTGAGCAACACACTTAGCATTTATACACCGCTGTGATTACTACCAATGTCCATGCAACCTGAATCGCCACCGTGGAACTACAATGTGGGCCACTTGTGGCACTTAAACTTCTCTTAACAGCCTGGCTGCAAAATGTCAAACGACATCAGTGCGAGTGATTTTAATAGCGTATTTTAGTTCGTAGGATGATCCAAATATTATTTTAATAAATAATCAGCATAAAATATGAACAAGATTTTTACATTGTTTTGCCATGTACTAAGTTCCAAACTCTGGTGTCTTCTGTGCAGGGACCTCTCAAATGTCACCAGCCACAGTTCCAGTGCTCCATGGCCACACACCACTGACAGCCGCCACACCAGACAGAACGGTTCCTCTGCACAGGGTGGTGTAGCAAAAACTCTGCTCTGTGGAACACTAATTTCATAGAAGGCTAACATCGTGTTTTGTTAATTTAAGGCTCATATGTCTCCACATTTCAAAGATTTCTCCAACCAGAATGCATCTTCAAATAATTAAAAGAGGCAGTATTGGAGGCTTTTTCTTTCCTATTGGCACATTAAAAAATGACACGCTGTCCAATGAAAGGTGTTGTATGCTTCTGTGAATGTAGCTCTACCGTGAAAAAGAATTCCACAGTTAAATTTTAGGGAAGTTGAGAACAGAGTTCAACAGGTTGTTTTCTTCTCAAACATCCCAGAGCTTTCAATATGTTAGTGTAAATTATTAATTTCCAAAAGAAATATATATCACGTAGCCCCCAAAAAAGTCACAAACAGGGTGCATTTACATCTCAGTAACTACTGATGTCTTGCAGAGACTGACGTCCACCGGACACAACTGGAAATGCTTTCTTACCGTGCACAGTAGGTGAAGGGCTTCTCGTGGGCTGAAGGAAGGGGTCACTGGAGGCACTGGATGTGCTGAGAAAGGAGCCCAGCAAGTCTTGGCCCGATGGCTTAGAGGAGGCTCCAAACGGGTCAAAGGTGGCACCTAGAAAATAATAGGGAATACGTCCAGTCATTCTATAAATATGGAATTGTTGTCATTATCACCTGGCCCTCGGCCAAATACTTGAAAATTCCTGATGATAATAGCCTCCCAGGCCACTCCACAGGCCCACGATATCTTTAAAATTTCCTCCAGGGCTAGTAATGGGAATCCAAATAACATGAAATCAGTCGATCAGGGTCACAGACTAGCTGAGAAGACAAAGTCCACACAGCTGAAGCCGCGGTGTGAAATCCACTCGCGGGCCCTGAGAGATGGGCAGCGACTACACCATGGAAGCTCACACTAAATAAACACATGGACAGATGTGGGGGCTGCTTTTAAGAGGAACAGCAGAAAACCACGACCAGGTTTTGTTTAGTCTTGCTTTGTTTAAGGGGTTTCTGGCTTACTTGAAATTTTCGAAGAGAATAAAATGAAAGTAGTAAAAAAAAATTGAACTCCCATCACAGCTTATGTCCTAGGAAAGTTAAACATTTCCCAAGCACAGCCTCTCAATGACCTGCTAGAGACCAGATGCAGATTTGTAAACGAGCTGCAAAGACCAGGAGACAGTGGGAAGCTATAGGTACCAGCAACAATGAACACATCCTCCTGGGGCTGTCACTGTCTTTCACAAAGACACCGACGCCTTACTGAGCCTTGGGCTTGCCCTGTTAGATAGCAGTGGTCACTCCTTTCTATAGATGAGGAAACTGCCGCCCCGAAAGCAGAGGTCTTTGCCCAAAGTCAAGAAAACAGTTGGGCTGGAACAGATGCTCAAGTCACCTGAAATTTCAGGAAGGGCCACAAAGCAGCCTGTCTTTCTCACCGTCATAAATTTAATTTGATAAAAATGGCTGAGCTGCATGAAGATACTTGGCCTTAATTTCTCCCGACTGAGCGAAGAATAAGATCTCCTTTAGCTCCTTACAATACGATGTCGTTTCTCGGCTCTAAGCATCAAGCAGCCCCGCTCTCCCACGCGGGAAGGACGTAGGCTCTGGCTGCAGACGCTGTGACTGCAGGGCACTGATCTCCCAACATCTGAGCAGCAAGGGAGGCCGGCACTGCCACAAAGGCAGGGATTGTGTTGCAGGTACCTCGCCAATGATACAGATCCCTTACCTCACGCAATCCCCGTGAAACCTCATCCTTGCTGAGATCTGAGAACACCAAGATTGCAGGGTCATCAGAAGAAGACCCTGGGTCACTCCCTCTACGTCTAGGTAGAAGCTGGCGAGTGGAAGACACTAAACCTCACCATTACACGGTGCACATTTCCGGTCACCTTCTTTGACAGATGTTCTCTACCAACTACGGGCGAGATGCTGACCATCACAGACAGGAGCCCAAATTTTACACCAACACTGGGGGTATTATCTCCCTTCACAACCAAGAAGGTTAAGGGTTTTAGTGAGGTCACCCAGCAAGCTGTGTTGTCCTGAAACTCGAACCCAGGCCTTTGGCTCTGGGCGTGGTGTTCTTTCCACTCCTTTTGGAGCTGTGGACCCATGTCTGTCACTAATCGGCCAAGTAGGCTCGGACAAAGCAGCAGCACCTGAGGCGTCACTGTCTGAAACCCGAAACTGGAATCCACTGGTGTCCAGGACCCCTCCCAGCTCTGCACTGAACACATCTGTCACCGTGAATAACAACAAGTTAAGTCACTAACGTCACACCAGGACTCTGCCTTGGATCTTGGGGTTTTATTTCCCAACAGAGCTTTTATCCACGCTGATGAATGAGAACAAGCTAGAAGTAAGCAGACTACAGAAGAGACAGCCACGGATTAGGATTCAGAGCTTCGAGGGCCAGATCCTGACACTGCCAGTAACCAGCGTGGGCACTCGGCACCTGGCACCCACCCATGCCTGTCACAGGGGCCGCGGCTGTGAGCCAGTCCTGCAGCAGCTGCCGTGGGTCCCTGCCAACCAGCAACACCAGCTTGTGGAAGTCAGAGTCGTGGATGACCAGTCAGGCGGTGGCAAGGAGCAAACAGGAAAGAAACCAAGACGGCCATCGTGAGTCACGGCTCAGCTCCCTCAGCCGCACAGGACCCGGGGAGGCTCCAGCGGCAGCGCCAGCTTTCACACCGCAGCCCACCTATCACCACCTGTGGGAACCTTCGCGATTCACTTAACGCTAAGCCTCCAGTTCCTCAACTGCAAGATGACAGCACTGCGTGTTGGGCTTTTATAAGAACTGAGTCATGTTTAGGGTTCTACTTCGAATCTGGCAGATGCTAAGTATCCCACAAACACTAGCTGATATTTTTATTAGTAATTCATCTACCTACATCTCGCAGCAGAGGTAACTAAAGCAGCTCAGGCCTTGATAGCCTGGAAACCACATGGAAGGAGAGTGTTGGCGCTCAGACACCCGCTCACACTGGCCTCACATGATGGATGAGTCTCCGTTTTCCTCTGCGCTCTCCGTTCACGTGGGGACCCACACGTGGGGATCTAAGGGACATCGGGGGACCCAGAAGAGGCAGCTTCTCAGGACAGCACGCTCTGCCTGCGGGACCCCATTACAACTCAGTCGTTACCTTCTCCCATGCGCAGGGTGGGCGAGGTGGAGCTCGAGGCGGCACGGCGCGGCGTGGACTGCGTGGACGCTGCCCCGCTGGGCTGGAGCGCATCCTCCG